TATCTTCTGCTGGGTGATATGATTCAATAAGCTTGGCTCTTGAAGAAATTGAGTTAGGTTTTAGGAGATTATTATACCCCCAACTCCTCTCAAATGTCTGCGAGCATTTGAGCCTAGTACAGAGAAACTGGCACCTGCTTAGCATGATGAGTCTAGGGAGATGATATCATGCAAAGTGTGGCATGTCTGTGAGCATAACTGAATGCAAACATGGTCTTCTTATTAGCATGTATCAAATATTTAGCAAGATCAAGACCACATTTACATGAATAATGTCTGAAAGAATGTGCCTTCTGTTTATGGATGAACCTTGAAATTGCGAGGTGCTTAAGGCAAAGTTCTTCGCCTAACTTTCCTGGCTCACATTCAATCATTCTGAAGATGCCAGAAGTCCTAGAGAACCCACCAAAACTGGTAGTCAGAAAACTGACAACTCTGATGGCCATGGTCCCAAGATTTCACATTAGAGCTAGCACTTGTCTCTTTAGGTGCAAGGGGAAAATCTGGGACTTGTTTTGAATGTTCTCTTGCCTGTTTTGATAGCACATTTGTGTAAAGAAGCAACATAACAACAGCCTACCAAAAATCTTCACCTCAAAGCCTCTGTGAGAGTAAGCAGGTTGTAAACAAATAAAATGCATATGGCACTGAATATCTTATTTACCTCCCTAGCAACCTTGCCACAGGGTATACTTTTCTCCATGGGCAGGATGAGAACTTGGAGGCTTGGATAAGATATGAGATCTGCCAAAATCCAAAGCTCTGACTAGAACCCGGGCATATTGACTCCAAGTATTCCATCAGGCATGTATAAGGCGCAGCACCTGGGGCCTAGCAGTCACACATGGAAGCATACGCTGATCACTGTCAGGCCCTGCTGTCTCTGGTCCATGGTCAAAGATGAACTGATTCTAGGAAAGCAAAGCTGGACAAATCCTGAGGACTATCTACTCATTTTACAGGCATTGGACAAGAGGAGGGTGAGGGGCAGAGTATCATTCCATGTCTGCTTCTACTTGTGCTGAAGGTTATAAAAACAGAAAAGTGGGGGTAGTCAGAAAGTGGATCACCCTATTATTTGATGACCCACAAGTCATTTCCTACCACCTTCTCCTCTGTTTACTTCTCATTACAGTCTGAACAAACCAGAAACTCAGAGTTCTGGCCTCTCTTGGAGGTGGGGATGTTTTGTGACCCCATCTTACACAATGATATGTAAGGAAAGATCCACTGCAGAGAGGCACATGGAGATTCCTCCTGCTTCCTGCTTTTGAAGATTGTGGTGGGAGGATCTTATGCCTGGAGATTTGGTAGCTATCTTGCTACCCTGTGAGGAAGCCCAGTGGAATCGCTGATATTCGAATTCATCACCCTGATACCAGGGAAAAAAGGGCCCACTCTTGAACCACCTAACGATGAACTGTTTTTTTTTTTTTTTTTTTTTATGGACAATACATATTCTTATGGTTTAAGTCACTGTGAGTTGGGTTTCCTGATACCTGTCATCTAATGTACTGTAACTGATAGGGAATAGAAATCGGCCACTATTCTGCACTGCCTTCCTCCCCCCTCTCTCAGTATCTTAGAAAGATCCCGGGCTCTAGAAATAGTTCAACATTGTGAACTCCATTAGCTCAAGGATGGAGTCTCTCATGGTCATCACTGTTTTCCTGTACTCAGCAAAGTGCCTGGCACATAGTACATGTTTCATGCGTATTTGGTGATTAATCTTAATTAACTAGTACATATATCACTCTATCCACCAATATTCACTCTGCATTCCCAGGATATGCCAGCCACTGAGACAGATGCTGGTAATAAAGAGAGAAATAAGACACGTACTCTACCCTTCATAGGTGTGCTGGTCAAGGTGGGGAAGCAAATATGGACACATATTATGATGCAGTATGAGAAACTCTATAACAGAGAAGTGCTATAATGAAATGTCACTGCAGCACAGGTTGGGGGGCATCATGTGGAATAACTAATGTCATAATGGGACAGATGATGATGCACAGTAACCTCTTCAAACAGACTCTGTTGTATTTAACTTTTTTAAGAGAGATTTTTGCTATAGGTTGTATGTGCTCACTAGAGAGATAGAGAGAGACAGAGAGACAAAAAGTAAGAAGTCACCCCCCAGGAAGGATGGGCACACATAATCCCTTTTCCTCTATTCTCCTCTCAGGATCTTGGGCATGCACACACATGTGCCCAGCATGAGTTTTAAGTTGCCAGGTCCGGGACTCAAACCACAGTTGACTATGTGGGAGTCCAGTGATGTAACCACTACACCATCTGCTGGTCCACAGCTCTGTTGTATTTATTAATCTTGGTGTTCCATTTAAATAGCAAGTATTCAGCACCTACTCTGTGCCCTACACTATTCTTGGTAACAATGAACAGTCATCATAAAAATAGAGAACATTTATAGCACTTAAAACATCCCCATCACCCTTTCTGTGCCTAACATATATTCATTTATTTATTCTTCACAATGGCCTTATTAAATAGATACTATTATTTTCCCTACTAAACAGATAGGAAAACTGAGGCAGAGAAAGATGGGTTTAATTTGCCCCAAATTACACTGCTAGTAAGTGGCATAGTCAAAATTGAACTGCAAGTGGGATAAGCAGCTGGCATAATGGTTATAGTCGACCCTGGTTCAAGTCCTGGACCCAGTGGCTTAAAAACTCATGCCAGGCATGTGTGTGTGTGCGTGCCCAAAATCCTGAGAGGAGAGTGGAGGAGAAGGGATTGTGGCGTGGCCACCCCCCCGGGGTGTGTGTGTGTGATTTCCTGCTTTCTGTCTCCATCTCTCTCTGGTTCTCCGGCAAGTGTAGGCACCCTATTGGCAAAAATCTCTCAAAAGAAAAAAAAAAATCTTAAAAATTGAACTCAAGCAATTTAGCTCCAAAGGCCATATTTTAACCAACATACAGAAGACATACTCACTACTTTCTAAGTATTTCCAATCATTTGAGACAAACAGAAATACATGCTTTCGCCATTGCCCTGGTTCCTGCATTTAATCTGGACACATACTTTGCTGGAATTTAATTCCAGCCAGGGACCTGGCACCAGCTCTGTTCAAGCGGTCACCTCTTTGTTGTGGAGCATACAAATACCCTAAAACATGAGTGCATCTATCTCCGCCTTCATTTTAAATGTGGTCAACAAAAGACCAAGCCCTGGGTTGGCTGAGAAAGTCTTTTCTGTCTGTGGAAAATGAGTTTAAAGACACTTTCCACCTAAAGACATTTTTTTTTCCTTACAAAGTGCAAAAAAAAATGTGAGGTCTAATTACTTAGCCGTGCCAGATATGCTTTTTCAGCTTCTGCTAGACTTAGCTCAACACAAACTGTGCTTACCCTTGCATGCACAATGAGCCTCATTAATTCTTCCTTCTCAGCGCGCTGAAGGAAAATGGTAACAAAACTGGGGGCAAATTCTCTTCTTAGTGTGTCTGGCTTAGCAGCTTCACCTCAGATCTGGTTCATTCATAAGGGCTACCTGCTCAGGCCAGCTGGACAAAGGGAATCAGAACTTACAGAAAGTCTGTGACTAACACCGTTGCTTCTGCTGTGAGATACTGTACGAAAGGGCTCCTGCTGAGGAGACCAGCAAAGAGATGAAGCAACACGCAGAGAGTCATGGGTGCACCTGCTCCTTCCCCTCTTCTATGCCATTCCCAACACAAGCACCGTCCTGTACCATCTTAGATGCCGCAGCAGATCCAGTCGGGTGATAATATGTTCAGAGTTATGCAAACCTTCCTGGCATGTATATGCAGAATAGGATGACGTGGTATGCATCCACTTCATTATTTCATACCTACTGAAGCTCAGGTCATCATCAAACACTTCCAGCATGAAGGTTCCCAGACTTCCTAATTACATCTACCTCAAGATCTAGCTGCCAGTGATCGTTTAAAAATATGTCCACAAATGTTTTGACAGGCCTCATTTCAAAAGGGAGAGCCCCTTTCTCTTCCTCTCAAGTGTGGGCTCTAGGTTGGGCTTCCTTTTAACTAATGGAATATGGTAAAAGAGGTCTACTTAATAAAGGATTTATAGCTTTCCATCTCTCTCTCTTTCTCTCTTAGTGTATACCATGGGAGAAGCTAGATGGAATGTAGTAATGGCAGTCAAACAACCCTACGGAGAGGTCTACGTGGAGTGTGGAGTTCTTAAGGACTCCTACTGGCACCCAGTGCTAATCTTCCAGGTATGGGTGGATCTTCCAGCCTCAACCAAGCCTTCATCTCCAGTCAATGTTCTGACTGCAACTTCATGGAGACCCTGAGCCACAATTACCCAACTAAGTTACTGGGTTGTGGGAAAAGTCATGACATATGTTTTCTATGTAGAAATGTATCAAGACTTTTCAGACAACGTAATTCTAGGTTCCTGACACACAACAACTGTGTGAGATAATAAATGTTTATTATTTTACATTACTACAATTTAGGACCATTTACTAAGCCAAAAATTTAACATACTGCCAGGATAAAAAGGTAGGTTGACCTACAAAGAAATGGTATCAGACTTCTTATGCTAGCAGACTTCTCGCCAGCCATAGGATTGTCTGAATATAATAAAATCCCAAGAAGTGATCAAGAAAAAGTCATTACTTTCAACTACCCTTTTCCAATGTTAATCCCTTCACCTCCTCTTGAGTCTAATCTTTTCTGCCTCTTGATTTTTGTTCTATCCATTCTATCATGTGTGTTTTGACGCCTTTCCTCTCTCTCTTTCTGACTTCTTCTCTCCAACACACACACTGAAAGTACTCTGCCAAGCATCACCAGGGAGACTGCCCGTGACCTCACAGACTACCTTGGCCTTAGATGGCTACTCTCCCCTGCTCATGCTGTGCTCACAATTTAGGCATGTCTATTTTTCCTCCCTTCACTACTGGAGTCCTTCTTCCTTGTGATGTTTAATCTTGGTCTCCCACCCCCACAATGAGATGTTCTACTCCTCAAACTCCTTAAAAGCATAAGAGCCCTTTTCCATATGATATTCACCATGTATCTTGAATCGGCATTGAAGGTCTTGGTCCTAAGGTAGATTTCCTTTGTGGTTTCAACTCCCACTTACTACTCCAGCTTTGAGTTCCCTCTTCATTTCCAAAACTCTAAGTTATCCCTTGTTTGCTTTAAGCACCGCTTTGTATTTCTGTTAAGTGGGCTATTGGGATGGAGGGTATTTCTATAGACTATGTGGGGCAGGGTGCAAGAGGATAGCTTCATTGCCCAAGACTATTCTCTTGGTGTATCTTGAAGGCTAAACATATGCCTGCTGGATTTCTCCTCACCACTATCATAACGCCCCTGAGGGCTGTGGCTCTGTCTCACTCTCCTTTGGTAGTTTCTGATATAGTGCATTCATTCCAGCAGTGCCTGGATAGACAGAAAAAAAATCAAATATTAAGTGTCTCCAATTTCTCTTTTGAACAAACTTATCAAGCCTAATAACCACATACTTCTCCTCCCTTTTTGTTTCTACTCAATGCCCTAAGGAGTTTCCGGTGCCCTCAATATGCACAAAAAATCCTGAGAAACCAGAGCGAGCTACAAGCATAGAAGCAGAGCAGAACGTGGCCTCAGGAAGAATTCTTTCTCGTCTGGTATAATCACTAGTTCTGATTACTTTTCTGGCTCCTGATTCTACAAATGTAGGTTGTTTCTAAAATTAAAGCAGACTAGTCCTTTTTTTATGGAAAATGTCTACAGACCTAGCCTTTTTTCCCCATTAGAAAATGGTAACTTCTGGGGATGGCAGGTGGCATAGTGCCAAAGTGCTGGACTCTCACATGGCCAACCACAGTTCAAGTCCTGGACTTGGCAATTTGCTTTCTCACTTTCCCTTTCTCTATCGTTCTGAACAAATTAAAAATAATAATGTTAATAAATAAAATTAAGTAAATAATTAAAAAAAGAAAATTATAACTTCAACCAGTCTTGATCAGTGTTTCATATTCAAATATAGACAACAAGATCTGACATGGACTATTGTTATTTTCTAAAAATTAAGAATGAATTTGTAATAAGATGCCCAGTTTTAATCACAAACACATGAAGAACAGACATCATTCATTTACTCTATATTGACAAGTCTAAGAGTCATCTGAATCAGTTGGCGTAATGGCTATGTTGCTGGACTCCCATGTAGTCAACCCCGGTTCGAGTCCCAGATCTGGTGGTTTAAACTCACGCCGGGCACATGTGCGTGCATGCCCAAGATCCCAAGAGGAGAATAGAGGAGAAGGGATTGCAGTATGGCCATCCCCCCTGGGGGGTGAATTCTTGCTTTCTGTCTCTCTATCTCTCTGATGAGTGGGGGAGGGGGGGAAGAAGAGTCATTTGAGCCGTGCTTTTTTTCCTGTGCAATTTAAATTTTTTTGGCTCGACTGGGGAGGGGAGGGCCAGAAACTGCCTTAGTGGCCTTTGCTTGATTCCTATTCAAAACATTTAGTGATTTCTTTTTCTTTCTTATGGTTCTTCCACAGGTTTCCCAGGAGCTAGCCCATCAATGATATTCATGAGCACCCACTGTGACAGTTTAGTAAACAAATCTGAGGATGAATCCATCTTTCCTGTCATATGTGACAAAAATTCTTCAGAGGCTTTATTTATGCAATTCAGATCTCCAGGCTGAAACTATGTGGTACTAGTATTTCACAAAGGCCCCAGGCAGCAAAGTATTTATTTTACACTCCTGGACCTCATCAAGGATATGGCATAACCTGTTCTGTGTTTATCATTTTGTAAATGAGCGACATAATACAGAGATGCCACCTGCTTCATGGTAGGGGGCAGGGTGGGAGAGCAGGAGGAGAGACGTGGAGGGTTAATTAGTTAATGTCTATGAAGTACTTTGCAGATGGAGAGCGGTATGCAAGCGTGAATTTTTATTATGGGTTTCTGCTCTTCTTGGTGCTTGCTAGAGAGACAGCTACAAATGGGATAATTTTTCTTAGAATGAAGAGCTTTGACTAGGATATAGAAACACAGTAAATGGATGTAAATACCAAATATAGTGTGTGTGAAAAACTGGATTCTCAGAAAGGACATTTAGAAAAAAAATAGAGAGGCAAAGCATTGATGAGACAAAGAAATGTGATATTACCTGTTGAAGAAACTATTATAGTTTTATCAACTGGAATAGGAAGAAATGTTCACATGTTGAAATATTCAGTTTGTAAGATAAATAATGTGATTGAATGTAAAAGACAAAATGAAATAAAAAATGTAAATAACAATAATAATAATAATGTAATAATAATCTGGAAAAAATAATGGAGAGCTATTTGATGGTGATGGGGATTTTAATGTCTTTGTATTGACTGATATGCATGGTACTCCTTCTGGAAAAAGAAATGTAATACGCTGTAAAAAGAAGGAGGAGGAGGAGAAGAAGAAGGAGGAGAAGAAGCTACTGCCGCCGCCGCCACCACCACCGCCAGAAGAGCAGAGCTGATAGCTTATCTTGATTCTCAGAAAGGACATTTAGAAAAAAAATAGAGAGGCAAAGCATTGATGAGACAAAGAAATGTGATATTACCTGTTGAAGAAACTATTATAGTTTTATCAACTGGAATAGGAAGAAATGTTCACATGTTGAAATATTCAGTTTGTAAGATAAATAATGTGATTGAATGTAAAAGACAAAATGAAATAAAAAATGTAAATAACAATAATAATAATAATGTAATAATAATCTGGAAAAAATAATGGAGAGCTATTTGATGGTGATGGGGATTTTAATGTCTTTGTATTGACTGATATGCATGGTACTCCTTCTGGAAAAAGAAATGTAATACGCTGTAAAGTTATATGTGATTCAATGCAATATTAACACAATTATAATAATAAATAAAATAAACAATAAAAATAACAAATTTTAAAAAAGAATGAAGTGCAATGGTCTAACATCACTTAGATGCTTTGATTTTGGAAAGTAAAGTTCTCTGTTTTCTTTTTCATTTTTTCTTTTTCTGATGATGGGAATGTATACCCCTCTGGGAGAGATAAGGAGTTTGCATTCCTCCTGGAACCAGAAACTGGTTCTAAAAACTGTGTAGTCTTCTTATGAAGTGATCAAGAGTTCATGGCTATCACTGGGTTCTATCCCCATCACATATTCTTAACTCCTCAGTGTATGTTCGTTTTCCTTTCAGGAGAGCAATGAGTTCACTTATAGAAGGATATCGGAAAGCTAGGTGTGTCACGGAATTACCTACATGTTTCCACCGTAAGTCCATCACTAGAATGTTGATGGAAGTATTATTTGCAGTATCCCCACACTAAAGGCTGATTAGATACCCATCAAGTTTTGAAAAAAAGAAATGTATTGTGGTATATTCACACAGTGGAATACTGTACTGTAATGAGAATGAGTGATCTAGAACTAAACTGAAAGCTAAAGGTACCTTTCATGAATATAGTAAAATGGACAGGGCCAAACACAAGAGTACATGTTGCATGATTTTATATAAAGAATAAAAAGCTGCAAGAACTAACCCATATTGTTAATAAGGACAGCAGTTGCCCTGCGGGATGGGTCGTGGTTATGGGGGCTCACACACAAGGGTGAGAGGGCTTCTGAACTGCTGGTTAGGTTTTGTTTCTTGATCTGGGTGTTGTTACAGCTGTGTTCAGGTTATGAATATGCATTAAGAGATCAGCAGTTAGCGTAATGGCTATGTCTCTAAACTCCCATGTAGTCAACCGCAGTTCGAGTCCTGGACCCAGTGGCTTAAACTCATACTAGGCACGTGTGCGCGCATACCCAAGATCCCAAGTAGAGAAAGGAGGAGAAGGGATTGTGGCATGGCCATCCTCCCTGGGGGATGATTTCTTGCTTTCTGTCTCTCTGTCTCTCTGGTGAGTGCATGTGCCCTATAGCAAAAAACCTCTCCAAAAAAAAAAAAAAAAGAATATGCATTAAGATACATGCTTTTGACTTAGGCACTTTTAAAATAACAAATATCAATAAAAGGTTTAATTAAAAAATAATCATACAAATTAATCTGTTGGTATTAGGTTAGCTGGGTTTCAAGGTGTGAGGTGCCTCTTATTTCTGGCCTATACCTTAAAGCATTGCAAAGCATTTGCAGATATATCTAGCCAAAAAAGACATAAACTGGAAGTTTTTATTTGTGTGTGTGTGTGTGTGTGTGTGAAATTCAAGTCAAGGAGTAAGTAGTAATGTGGTCCCATTCATTCCATTTCCTAGCTAACAATCCTGTGATGAAATGAAAGAAAGCACCCTCGGGAACCAGCAGTTAGCATAATGGCTATGTTGCTGGACTCCCACGTAGTCAACCGTGGTTTGAGTGCCAGTCCTGGTGGCTTAAAACCCACGCCGGGTGCGTGTGCATGCGTGCCCAAGATCCCGAGAGGAGAATGGAGGAGAAGGGATTGTGGCATGACCATCCCCTCGGGGGGGGGGGTGATTTCTCACTTTCTGTCTCCATGTCTCTCTCTGTCTGGCAAGTGCATGCGCCCTATAGCAAAAACCTCTCAAAAAAAAAAAAAAGAAAAAAAGAAAAAGAAAGCACCCTTAGATTTCTGCTTGGCATATTCCTACCCACACAGGCTAGACTGAGAGCCATACCAGATACAAGATCTACAGAGTGCTGTCTCGTATGGAGAAAACGATGAAAATCACCCTGACAGTTCAAATTTCAGCAACTGAATAACTAGATATAAAGCCACTCTCACTCAAATATATGGCATTCACATTCAGAAAACATCATTAAAAAATCTAATCTTCATTTAAGTCCTCACTTAACTTACTTTCTTCCCCAGATCTCTCTTTGAAGTGTCACGGTGCTGAAAAAAAATCACATGATTTAACAGTGCCCTAGGAGGGCTTGAGAAAAATATATAGTGGGCTCAGTGTGGATTTAATTAATGGGGATGGGTGATGGGGGATTAGGAATGCCTCGTAAAAGCTGAAATCCAATAAATGAACTGATGTACCCAATTTGGCTGTTTTTCCAGAATATATCATCTCAATCCCAAACTCCAGTGCTTAAGAGAAATAGGAAGAATGATTTTATTATTTGTAAATCAGAGCCATAAGAACATGCTTCTGGCCTTTTCTATTACCTTTTCTAAACCCAAACTCTATCTTGGTTATTTAAAAAGCATGAAGGCTTCTGGTATCATTAGACCTAATGTTGCTATGCACACATTGCATCTCAACCAATATTAACAGTTTTCCAAAAGTCACAGATTCCTAGAACAGAGAAGAAATGAAGCTACAGAACCAAATATAGAACTGATCTCAGTAACAGGTGATAACCTCCTACCTAGCATCCCAAGCTTTCTGTGCTGGACTCACTCATCCAAGTGACGGTTATTCAAATATCTGACATTTGCAAACTCTAGGCATTGTTCTAGACTCTCTTGTTGCAGAGAGTGTGGACGGAAACCCCTGTCTTTGTCACACATGCATTCCAGCTGAGCACAGTATATAACGAATAATAAACCTAGTAAGTATATCATACAGTATGTTAGGAACAACAAACACATGGAACAAGTACAAAAACACAAGAGAGAAAGATCTAGAGAGTGCAGTATCACAGAGGGAAGAGGTGCAGCTTGCAGTTTTTAACTGGTTATGGTCTCAGGTTTCACTGAAGAGGTAAATCTTATGGCTGAGGGACATTGCAGGACCTTAGTGAGTTGAAACTCTCACTTAGGTTGATGGGCTCTGTTTCTCAGCATCAAACAGGCTTTTCTTACGAAATAGCTTGCATCTGGGCCAGCGGGTGGCATAGCAGTTATGTCACTAAATTCCCACATGGCTGACCATAGTTTGAAGCTCAGACCCAGCAGCTTCAAGCTCATGCCAGGTGCATGTGTGAGCATGCCCAAAATTCCAGGAGGAGAATGGAGAAGGGATTGTGGTGTGGTCATTGCCCCTGGGGGGAGGGGTGATTTCTCACTTTCTGTCTGTCTCTGTCCAACAGGTACATATACCTTATAGCAAAAATCTCTCAAAAAAAGAGAAAAGAAATGGTTTGGATCTATGAAATAAACAAAAAATTGTTTATTTCTTAAAAGTTGTCCACCACATGGCCAGGATAATGCTGGCTCGTATCATCTTTAAAGCAGGTGTTACCAATTGCCCACCATGGCCACTGAAACGTTTCAGTAAGGTTTTTTGGTAACTAGATGAATCAACTTGCTTCCTACGGCTATCAAATGGAACCAATTACCTTTAAAGGACAACTGCCAAAAATAATGCTTTCCATTTTTGAGTGTCTGATAATTATGCCATTGTTTCCAGTAATAGTCAGATAGCAGGACAAATTGTCTTTTGAGACCTCTTCTAGTTGTTAACAATCAGATCAAATCATCCATGAAGAAATATCTCTCCTAAAAGACATTTAATTCTTAACATTAAGTTAATTCATAACTTAACGTTATGAATGAAAAATAAGGAAGGACATGCAATGCAACCATAAGGTTACAATCGGGCCTGTACCTAACTCTCTGCCTTATCACACCCCCTCGTTTATAGGTGGCCCTGGTTTGTC